ATTTACTAAAACTAAACTCAACGCTTCTTAAAAGTAGAAAACAGGGTGGTGCCTGTGGCTCAGTGGGTAGGGCGCCAGCCCCATATACTGAGGGTAGCAGGTTCAAACCCGGCCCGGCCAAACTGCAACAAAAAAATAGCCAGGCCTTATGACGGATGCCTGTAGTCCCAGCTACTAGGCGGGCTGAGGCAAGAGAATCACCTAAGCCCAAGAGCTGGAGGTTGCTGTGAGCTGTAACGCCATGGCACTCTACTGAGGGCAACAAAGTCAGACTCTGTCTCTAAAAAAAAATAAAAATAAAAAGTCTCAAAAGGATTAATTTTAAAAATATTAAGTTATTTACTAAAACTAAACTCAACACTTCTTAAAAGTAGAAAACATAGCTGGGCATTGTGGTGGGTGCCTGTAGTCCAAGCTGCTCAGGAAGCTGAGATAAGAAAATTGCCTAAACCCAGGAGTTGGAGGTTGCTGTGAACTGTAATGCCACAGCACTCTATCGAGGGTGACAAAGTGAGACTCTGTCTCGAAATAAAAAAACAAAAAAAGTAGAAAACAAAATCCAAATGCTCAGCAACATAATATTTACAATGTCCAGCATCTAGTCAAAAATTACTAGAAATGTGGCTCAGTGACTATGGCTCAAGCAGCTAAGGTGCCAGCCACATACACCTGAGCTGGAGGGTTTGAATCCAGCCTGGGCCCACCAAACAACAACAGCTGCAACCAAAAAATAGCCAGGCATTGTGGTGGGTGCCTGTAGTCCCGGCTACTTGGGAGGCTGAGGCAGGAGACTCGCTTGAGCCCAGGAGTTGGAGGTTGCTGTGAGCTGTAATGACACAGCACTCTACCCAGGGGGATAGCTTGAGGCTCTGTCTCAAAAAAAAAAAAAGAGGATCATTTGAACCCAAGAGTTTGAGGTTGCTGTGAGCTAAGATGCCATGGCACTCTGCCAAGGGTGACCAAGTGAGACTTAAAAAAAAAAGAAAAGAAAAGAAAACCAAGCTGGGCACAATGGCACATACCACTCGTCCCAGCTTCTCAAGAGGCTCAAGAGGAGGACTGCTTGAGCTCTGTAGTTCAAAGCCAGCCTAGGCAACATAGCAAGACCTTATCTCTTAGGTTGGGCATGGTGGTTCATGCCTGTAATCATAGCATTCTGGGAGGTCAAAGCGGGTGGAATGTTTGAGCTCAGGAGTTCAAGACCAGCCTACTGAAACCACTAGGAGCAAGAGTGAAACCACTTCTCCCTTAGAAACAGAGTAGTATATGGGTAATTATAAAAAAACTTTCTCATTTAAAAACTTCATATAATCCAAGCTACTACCGATTTACAACATACATAGAGCAAATGTTCAATAATAGCACACAGGATGGGAGGGGAATAAAAGTATATTTTTGTAAGTTCCTTACAAGTGAAGTGGTATGATATTATTTGAATGTATATTTGATACATTAAAAATATATAATGTAGGGGCAGTGCCTGTGGCTCAAGTGAGTAGGGCGCTGGCCCCATATACCGAGCGTGGTGGGTTCAAACCTGCTCCAACCAAACTGCAACAAAAAATAGCCAGTCATTGTGGCAGGCACCTGTAGTCCCAGCTACTAGGGAGGCTGAGTCAAGAGAATTGCCTAAGCCTAAGAGCTGGAGGTTGCTGCGAGCTATGATGTCATAGCACTCTACCGAGGGCAAGCGAGACTCTATCTCTAAAAAAAAATAAAAGAATTAGTTGGGGTAGTGATCTGCACCTATAGTCTCAGGTACTCAGGAGGCTAAGACAAGAGGGTCACTTGAGCCCAGGAATTTGAGGTTGTGGTGAGCTTCATGACACCACTGTACCCTAGCCTGGGTAACAGGCCAAGACCCTGTCTCGGAGAAAGAAAAATAAATAAATATACATATATATGGTAAACCTGTGGTACTGTGAAGTACATATTTGGCCTTCAACTCCACTTCCTGGCACAACAATAAACATCCTTAGAATTTCCACAGAGATATCTTTTTGTTGGCTAATGAGTGGTGACTGATGACCCCAAAGTAGCCTCAGGATGGGGGTTGGTCATGATTAAAGGGTTGGAATTTACAGCACTCCCCAACCCCCGTCTTTCAGGGAGGAGAGAAGGCCTAAAGGTTAAGCTGATGGCCCATGGTTTCATTAAATGTTGCTACATAATGAAGCCTCCATAAAATCCAAAAAAGAATGAGTTCAGAGAACTTCCTGATAGTTGAACACTTGGAGGGTTCCTGGAGGATGGTATACTCAGAGAGGACATGGAAGTTCCATGCTCTTCCTCCAGACCTCACTTTATGCATATTTTCATCCATATCCTTTGTAATATCCTTTACAATAAACTGGTAAAACTAATATATCAGACCTCCATTGTTGACCACCTCCTTAAACTGACCTAATTTTCACAGACCAGACATACGAGTATGTATCAGAACAGTAGGCCTAGTTCCTTAAGCTGACCACCTCTGTATGTTAATCAGTTTGTTACAGTGGATATTAAACTTAATAGAGGCCCTATTGTACTTCCCTAAGTTTTGTGACAGCATCAAAATTGAATTGAATTAGAGGATACCCAACTGGTGTCTACTGTTTGATGTGTAGGGAAAAACCCTGTGTTGATGATTGCTATGTGAGAAAAAAGGAAAAAAATATGCTAAATGTGTTTTTTCCATCCACAAAACCCTAGAACAATCACCATGAAAAAAGGAAGATATATAGCTAATTAGAAAATAAAAGAGATAAAATGGAATAATAAACAACATAAATACAAAGAGGAAAAAAGAATGAAACAACATATTTTACAAATAGGAAACAAAAAGCAAAATGGGTGTCTAAAAACAAACCACATCTATAATTATATTAAATATAAATAGTATAAACTCTGAAAACCATTTAGAAGTCAGAGATTGTTGAACTGGATTTAAAAACAGACCACAGGCCCAGCAATGTGGCTCATGCCTGTAATCCTACCACTCTGGGAGGCCAAAGCAATTAGGTTACCTGGGCTCACAGGTTCAAGACCACCCTGAACAAGAGTGACACTGCGGGTGGCACCTGTGGCTTAGTGAGTAGGAAGCTGGCCCCATATACCAGGGGGTGCA